GATGGGTCTGATAAAAGAAACAGACTGGAAAAGAGAACAGAGAGCAGGATGTATGAGAGGTGTTGACAAGTCGTTTTTTCATTAACATATCAGAATCACACACTGCAAGTCTGCACAGCATGTGCTTGAACAGTGAAAAACTACAGTATATTTCAACACATCTGACGTTTTCAAACATGGTGTTAATTCTGTTCACTGATTATAGAGGTGCTACTTGCTTTCTGTAATTAAAGAAATATATTAATTTTCTGGTTTTGAAGCCAGATCTTAATGCACATGCTGCTTTAAAAACAAAGTAGTAATTTGACCATGCACTAGAGCACAGTCATCAGAACATATGCGGGTAAAACCCTTTGCTTCCACTTGTTAAAGGCCCTTCAGAGTTCTAATTTTCAAAATAAACCAGTTGTGGTTTGAGGTCATGTGAGTGAGGTCAGGGACCTGGCCTTGAGTGGAAACCTGTGGTTATGAAACAAAAGAAAAGCCCAGTTTTCCACAGGATGAGCAGTGAAGAAATTTTCCTGTCTTTGTAACAGAAACCTGAGGTCACTGCTCGTAAGACACAAGCATTGCAAATAATATTAAAATCCAGGCTATGACTAGGGGATCGAAATAACTCCAACACACCAGCAGGCCTGCAACAGTACAAGTGCATGAGCCTTCATTAGATACAGGTGGTGATAGCATCATAATTCAATAATTCTCTTAAGAGGTTATCCTAACGGCAGACACATTAAGCTTAAGTTCTATTGCAAATATTAGGAGGAACTTCTCTGAAAGTGTGGCTTAGCTGAAATACTCAAGTACAAATTAGCTATCTGCTGTCCCCAAGTGGCAGAAACACTGACTACAGAGCAAAGTGACCTGGAAGTTTCTTGTTTTGCCTTTTCCACACAAGGCATGTGTGCTTAACAAAAAGGTGTTTTGTAAAGATACATGTGACTGGTGTAAGCTGTGTATCTGATTCCCTTCATTGTAACATTAAATAAAATTCTAAAGTTTATGGGAGTCAGCTGAACAACACTGACTTTATGAATCTCAGCAGGTTTTAAAAGAGACACCTCAAACAGCACCACCAGAAAATTCCAAATAAATTTATTTTTAATTCCATCCACTGTACAAAGAAAGGAATCTTCTGGAGACCAGCTGAGCCAGAAACCCAGGCGGACCATTGATTTCCATCAAAGAAAACAGAGAAGATTACCTGAGGGTGTGGGAGCACAATGACTCAGATACAAAATGTAACACTAACTGAGGGTGTGGGAGCACAATGACTCAGTTAGATACAAAATGTAACACTAGGTGACCAGAGATTTCCTGTCACTAACATTAACAACTGTGAACAGTCCTGCATCATTATTCTGAGTTGCATTAAACAAATTATCAGGAGTCATAATTACATCACAACGGTGAAGCCAACGTGTCATACCACACATCTACTCCAGAGCCTTGACGATTGCCTCGTTGGCCTCTATGCTGATCAGAACTTCTGCCCTCGCGGCCTCGTCAGATATGCCAGCCAAATCAGACTGGGCCTTCTCCAGGTTGGCCTTGGCAGCCTAAAAAACAAACATACGTAAGTAGTAAGTAGTATCAATGAAAAGCAATACTGGGAAGCAACTAATAAAGTCTGTAATTCTGATTTTAAATGACTGGAACAAGAATTTTAAACATCTGCCTGTCACCTCCTGAACCAAATTACCATTAGTATTGAGGCTGAAGCCACGAGCATCACAAGATTTGTTTAAAATGTACCATTAACCTCTTGCTGTCCAAGAGCCAACTGAATCAAAACGAAACGAAACAGGAAAAGAGCCTAACTAATGCCAGCCATCCTAAAAACCTTCTGCAGCTAAGTGGGATGTAAAAGTCACAATAGTAAGGCTGAAGAATAACATTTCAAAAGTGGAGAGAAAGACAAGCAGAGAAAATCCCCACTGCCTCTTTGCCCTGAAAGCTCCATTTGTCACAGTAGCGATTAGAAACGAGAAATGCCAAACATAGCTGGAAGTTAAAGGTCTCCCAGCAGGGATTTGACACATCTGCTATAACTCAACAGTGACTGACCTTTCCCTCCTTATTAACAGTGTGGGCCCATGTGCATTGTTACTGCAGAGAGGGGGGGGGGGGGGAGTCAACTTGACTGTGACATTGGCACTGCCCAAGGTCAGGGACAGACACCAGCACAGCAAGCACAATAAAAATGATCCCTAGCATTAACAAGACTGGCATTTAAACAAGGACTCAACTTTGAAGTTCACCTGCAACACTGATCATGAGCTGGGAGGTGCTCATCAGCAGCACAGCAGATCAGAACGAGAGGGGAAGAAATCCACTACGGACACAGCCTCTGCTGTGTTCCTAGTGGAAGACAAGCCATGGTAAACAATCAGAGGGCGTATCCCACCAAACTGGATACGGACACCCATCACACAAAACTCATTACTTACAGCCATAATAAACTGACATATTTCCAAAACTGAAACATCATAGCTAAATGTTACAGACTGGAAGAAGATGACATCATCATTTAACTCTGCCCCAGAGTTAAAGATTCTGCTGGCTCATGCCTGCCTGCTCTGGAATAACCTCCTTGCTGGCATGAGACAGTCTGACTCAGTGAAAGGATATGTTCAGGATTTTTCAAGTTGGTCTTAAAACAATATTAATGTGCCCAAATGCAAAACTGGGCAACCTCTCAGCTTTTCTACAGATTCTAGAATCTAGGAGCCACTCCTGCTGTGCAGACCTTAAAATAAACCTCTCCTCTTTGTGCTGAACCTAACAGGAAATACTGTTTACAATGTAGGAGACACATTCATGGGAGTGAATCAAAATTCATTGCAAAGGTACATTACATCTTAACGAGAAAATAGCAAAGTGTCAAATGAAAAAGCACTAAGAAAGTGGCTAGTTATGTTTCCCTGAGCAGCAGAGGGCAGGTGTTGAGTAGGGAAGGTCAACCAACTAGCTTTGGCTACACTACATGTTCAGGCTGGCCACTGATCATAAACAACTGTGATCAAATTCATAATAAAACATTACATCACAAGATCCAAATGTGTAGGATATGATACTCAACATTATTATGAAGAAAATATTACAGTATGGCATATATGTGACAGAAAATAATTAAAATCCATTATATACTTTATAATAAAAAGATTCAGGGCACCATTAGCTGTCTAAACCATTAAAGCAAATACCGAGTTAGTTGATTTTTCCTCATGATTTGGATGACCAGATCATGCTTACCTAAGGAAAACCTTGGGATCAACAGTAAGATATAACAATCTGATCAATTGATTAACCATTACATACAACCTTCGTGAAACTTGTGTTCAATATATCCTGGGGTTATGTCAGCGAGGTGTTGAACAGTAGTATATTTTACCATTATTCATGTAGTTGTGTCCATGCACTACTTCTCTTGTACTGATTTCAAATGAAACATTTAACCATTTACCAATAGCTGAAGTGTTTTTATTGTGACACTGTATACGGTAATGACGTTCCTTTATATTTTTGATGACTCCATCTACACGAGATTACAACTGAGCTCAACAAACATGGGATAACATGATCTAAAACTTACTAGTCTTCACTCCCCCTGGTCTAAACAAATCATTGTGAACAGCAAGTCATTGATTATAAACTGACATTTATTGTCAAACCCTTCATTAAAAGTCAATTTTATAGAAAAAAAACAAACATTGTATTTTCAGCTACCCAAAAAACATTCATGCAGTAGTGCAGATAGGGCTGAGTGATGTGGA